AAAAAAAAAATTAACTTACATTTGACGTTGCAAAAGATTCTGCCAGACAGCTTTTAGTTCTAAAGAGGGCGCGCGGAGCAAGAGGCTCTTGCGACGAGCACTCTTCTTTGGTGTGCGGGTCAAATCTGGTGCACAATAGCCCGTTGGACTTTCGGCTAAGCGTCCGTTGGGATCCACTGTAAGTCGAAACTCTGTGGCTGCAATGTAAGAAGAAATCGCGGTCACAAGTCAGCTACGCCGTACGGCAAGTGCAACAACTTACTTTTCTTGCGCATGTGAAAGCATGAATCTACAATATTGGCGATTGGAATGGGCTCCTCGGTTATGAACAGCACGCGATCTCGGCTGACCTTTGCAAATACGATGATGTCACTAAAGAGCAAGGTCCAGTAAGGTTTCACGGAGCGGCCTTCCACGCGTGACAGGTCGCCGCCAAAAATCCACTGGCGTCCCTGAACGGCTAGCGTGAATGGCTTGCACTTCGTGAAGACCATGCGGGACTCGAGATCTTGCAACGTGAGCAAAGGTCGACCCTCGCCCAGCGGCTCCATCAAGCCACTGCTAACGGTTATCTCACGATAAGCGGCCTGTAGTTCCGAAATAACAGTGGTAAAGTTCTTGTGCTCCTCCGTGTCGACGTGACAGTTAGAAGCGAGTAGCTGCATTAGTTTCAATATTTCGCGGAAATGCTGTAAAGGCCTGTGAATGAACATGGTGAGATCGGGGCGCTTGCGTGGCACTTGCGGTTCGGTTATGAAGGCAACAAACTCAGAGCCCATCTGCCGAGACTTATTGACCTAATGGAAGAGAACAAAGAAAGTGCTAATTGGTGTACAATACGGTTCATTAAATATGGAGACGCTTACCAGCACACAATCGGCTCGCTTAATGCCATTGCAATACTTCTTGTAGGCCGCGCAGATTGCTGTGGTTTTCGAGAGATAGACGCGTGAGGCGAAGTTCATCTGTGGCTCCTGGTCATCGTTGCACAGCTGCTCTAAAATATCCTCGGAGATGCGCACCAGCTCATCGATATTCTGGAAGAGTGTGCGATGATCGCTTGGCGAGATGAGATCTTTTCGCTCCTGCAACGGCTGCACGAATCGCTGCATGCCGAAATGCAGCGCCGCGATGAAATTCTGTTCGCGGCTAATCAGCTGTAGCAGCAAGCGACGACGATTGTCGGTGATGGGCCCGATGGACTGGGGAAAAGAGCAACATTTTAATGAAAGGCTAAAAATGCATTTCATCATCTGAAATTCAAAAAGCCGTAACTAATAAAAAATCCATCGCTTTATCTAAAAAAAAAAAATGGTTTGTTAGTTACGGCCTTTCGCATTTCAGGTGACAATTTGCAGAACAAATGGCGGCTGTGACTCGTCAAAATTTATCCAAATAATAAGACAATTAAAATTTCAAAATTAAATACGAAGAAGCGTTTATTGTCGACATAGCAGCATTTTCCAAATACGTTTATATGTACATACGTTATTTGAAAAGCAACTTAAAATAAATATCTAAAAGAAAGGGCACAAACTTAAACGAAAATGTGAAATATTCAAGAAAAGTGTAACAATTTATAAAATAATTAAATAAAGTGGTTCCATAATGATTTCCAGCTGAGAAGTAATAAAATAGAATAAAATTGAATTTTTAATGAAATATTTAAACATTAATTTACATATGTAGCTAAAATAATCGGCAACATTTCTCAAAATTCATTTTTAATATTTGGGATGTTAGGGATAGTAATAATCACTTAAAAAGTTAACTAAGATAATGACAAATATTCGGTAGTAAAAATATTATGCGAAAATACTTTATTTTAACTCGTAGCGCAAAATCAGAAATATATATTTAAAGAAATATAAGCCAATCGATTGTAGATGGCACTGTTCGATATCAAATCGGTAGGCTTTAATATAAAAATTCACTTGGTTTTGTTTGTCTCGGCCTGCTAAGTAAGAACTTTGCAAAGCAACTTAGATTTCAGAGGATTAGCTCTACATAAAGGCTGACTTTTTCACTCAGCTTTGGCGTCAGCCGAGGCAACTTTGTGCTTTTAGAATTAAATGTCGCATATAAAAATGTATAAACCTACATATGTATATACACGAAATAAAATATACAAACGGTTCAAAGGATTGGAAATAAGAACCAAATCATAAACAAATGTCACTTAAATTAGCTTAACTGAAATAAGTAAACTAAAGGTAGAAACGATAAACTCAAATCTAAATTTAACCAAATAAATTCGTTCACTTCGCTTCGGCAGCTGTTATTTCTCTTTGGCTGTCGGAAAATTTCCCACTCTCCCANTGGGGAAAAGAGCAACATTTTAATGAAAGGCTAAAAATGCATTTCATCATTTGAAATTCAAAAAGCCGTAACTGATAAAAAATCCATCGCTTTATCTAAAAAAAAAATGGTTTGTTAGTTACGGCCTTTTGCATTTCAGGTGACAATTTGCAGAACAAATGGCGGCTGTGACTCGTCAAAATTTATCCAAATAATAAGACAATTAAAATTTCAAAATTACATACAAAGAAGGGTTTATTGTCGACATAGCAGCATTTTCCAAATACGTTTATATATACATACATTATTTGAAAAGCAACTTAAAATAAATATCTAAAAGAAAGGGCACAAACTTAAACGAAAATGCGAAATATTCAAGAAAAGTGTAACAATTTATAAAATAATTAAATAAAGTGGTTTCATAATGATTTCCAGCTGAGAAGTAATAAAATAGAATAAAACTGAATTTTTAATGAAGTATTTAAACATTAATTTACGTATGTATGTAGCTAAAATAATTGGTAACATTTCTCATAATTCATTTTTAATATTTGGGATGTTAGGGATAGTAATAATCTCTTAAAAAGTTAACTAAGATAATGACAAATATTCGGTAGTAAAAATATTATGCGAAAATAATTTATTTTAACTCGCAGCGCAAAATGGCACTGTTCGATATCAAATCGGTAGGCTTTAATATAAAAATTCACTTGGTTTTGTTTGTCTCGGCGGCTTGCTAAGTAAGAACTTTGCAAAGCAACTTAGATTTCAGAGGATTAGCTCTACAAAAAGGCTGACTTTTTCACTCAGCTTTGAGCGTCAGCCGAGGCAACTTTGTGCTTTTAGAATTAAATGTCGCATATAAAAATGTATAAACCTACACATGTACTATATACACGAAATAAAATATACAAACGGTTCAAATGATTCGAAATAAGAAACAAATCATAAACAAATGTCACTTAAAATAGCTTAACTGAAAAAAAGTAAACTAAAAGTAGAAACGATTAACTCAAATCTAAATTTAACCAAATAAATTCGTTCACTTCGCTTCGGCAGCTGTTATTTCGCTTTGGCTGTCGGAAAATTTCCCACTCTCCCACTCTCTCTCTCAGACTATAACGCCTTTGCCTACCTCCTTACTGAAGGTGACCTGCGGCAGGTGCAGTCGCCTCTTCGCCGCCTCAATGGACGAGGTGGTGCCGACTGAACAGGCTGTGGACGGACGAACATTCATTGTGGAGGCCCCTGCTGACGGCCCCACAGCCACCGTTGGTGCTGCGCTTGCCACGCCAACGCGTCGCACTGATGGCGCTGTACCACCCGCTATCGACTGTTGTTCATCGCTTATGCCACTGGCTAGGCGTGTAGTTGATGTAGTTTTGCCATTCATGACCGGCGCCGCTGGATGCCCACGACTGCCAACACTGAGCGCTGGCGGCATAGAACCGAGTCCAACACCACCACCAGTGGGTCCCGATCTTCTGAACACCTCCAGCGTTAAGGTGGAGCCCTGTGAGCGTATTAAATTTAACACATCCGCTTCGGGCATCGTCACCACATTCTGCTTGTCTACGAAAATCACATAGTCGCCGGGCTGTATGCCGGCACGGTCGGCCGACAGTCCGGGCTCAATCTTCTCGACGCGCGGTGGATGTGTCCACACAATGGAGAAGCCAAAGCCTCGTTCGGCAGTGCGTGTCAGCTTCTTGGTCATGGTGAAAGGTGTGCGACCGACTGGCTTGCTGGCAGCAGATAGACGCCGTGCACCTGAGGCGTTTGGTGTGGCATTGGCGGCGTTTGCGGGCGCTGTCGTCTCAGTGGGCGGATCCAATTCGAGGAAACGCAAAAATAAATTCTCATCGGCGTCGCGCTGATGCAAAGCCTTCCGGCTCAGTGTCATCGGATGTTCGATATTGCCGCCGCCAGTCGCCTGAGCCATGCTGTCGATGCTTACGACGTCCTCCTCGCTTTTCTGGCGCGTCAGTGTTGAGGTCATTGTAGATGTGGCGGTGACGACACGCGTCTGTGGCACAAATGGTTGGGGTTGGACTTGGGGTTTTGGTGGCGGCTGCGATTGTGACTGTGGCTGC